AAAAAAAAAAAAAAAAAAAAAAAAGTAATTGCTTCATAATGAAAATAGGGTGAGTTACTCTGGGCGGGGGGTGGTTAGGGATTTACTGCTCCTGCCCCCCAAGTTCTTCTGTCCTCACCCCAAGTTTTCCGATTTTCTTTTACTTAAAAGCAAGGACCCTTAGCATTCAGGTCTAGTCTGGGGGTCAGCACGGCTTTCCTGTGAAGGGCCAGTAGCAAATATGAATCGTGTATGATGTATTAAGAAGGAATATGCAGCAGAGATGGTGTGTTTGCTGGTCTTGGGTATTTGCGATCTGATTTTACATGTACATCATACAGTCTCTGTTGCTCGTTCTTTTATTTCATGACCCTTTAAAGATGTAAGACAGAAACCAAATAGCCCTACCTGTTTCTCCCACCGGGCACTGTGCTAGGCCCACCACACCTGCTGTTGGGCCCATCATTTCAGGGCTGGGCTGAGCCCTGTGGGTTATGTCAACCGTGTGGACTCTGAGCTCTAGCTGGGCGAGGGCGGTTCAGAAAATGCAGGCAAGGCCCACTTAGGGAGCCACAGAGACGGTGCTGTCGGAGGAGCCCTACAGCCTTCCCGCCCCCACTTCTGCAGCGATTCGAACACTCGGCCAAACTTCGGCGTAAGATCACCACCTACGTGTCCTTCCCCCTGGAGCTGGACATGACCCCCTTCATGGCCTCCAGGTTCGTCCTCCGTGTCTGTGGTCGGGTGGGCGCGGCACCAAGTCCCTGATGAGGCCCCAGTGGGCCCTGATGTCACTTTGTCCGTGACACCTCAGTGTCCTGATCTCACCCCAGGACGGTCCCTGTGTGAGGGAGGCTGTCCTCCTACCAGCTGCCTCAGGGCAGCATTTCAGGCGTTTCAGCCACAGGCACTGAGATTGGATACAAATCAACACAGTGGTTTTGTGGTTGTAGGTTTCATTTATCTTGTTTTGGAGTCTTTGTATCAGGGACTGCTTGAAATTTACCCTTGCAAAAATAGGAGGACGCTTCCTGGTAGGACGGCTGCCTTAGTGAATAATAACCACAGGCGGGGCGGCTTAAAGCAACAGAGGCCTGAGTCCAGTGTTGGCGGGGCCTCAGGAGGATCGGGGAGGCTGCCTGCCTGCCTGCCCGCCTGGGGGTTGGCGGGGAGACGTGAGTCTGGGCCGGCTCTGAGCCTCGATCTCGGCAGTCCGCTTTCCAGCCTGGGCCTCAGTTTCCCCACCGTAACTCGGGGGTCATCTCTGCCTGAGATGGAGCTGTTGGGAGAAGCGGACCCGTGGAGGCCGCACCAGCATGGCGTCCGGTGTCACGCGTCCCCGGTGCCCACGATACCATGTGAACCGCCGGTCGTTAGTGAACTGTTTCAATCGAGCCTGAGTTTGCGCTGTTTGTTACAGCAAAGAGAACAGGATGAACGGACAGTACCAGCAGCCGGTGGACAGTCTCAGTAACGATAACAAGTGAGTGGCACCTCGAGCGCGAGTGGGGCGGGGGCTTCGCGGGAGGCCCACCTGCGTCTCCCAGGAGGTGCTGCGTGTGAGGGGCAGCGGCCGGGCTTGCTTGCCCTTGGCCACCGGCCTGCTCCTGTCGTGCTGCTACCGACCCACCCCCCGCGTCGCGGTGAGGCCCCTCTCCCCGGCCCTCTTGTTGGTGGCGGCGGGGAGGGTAGAGCAGCAACAGCGCCTCCCGGGCGGGCCCATTCTCCTCTCCGCCGTGCTGCCGTCGCCTGTCAGTGTTTGCTCCTGGGCGGCTACCCGGTGGGGACTGTGGTCCCTGGTGGGGACAGGGTCGTGACCTCCGTCTCCCGCCACCGTCCCCAAACCAGGTACTCCTTGTTTGCGGTGGTCAACCACCAGGGGACCCTGGAGAGTGGCCACTACACCAGCTTCATCCGGCAGCACAAGGACCAGTGGTTCAAGTGTGACGACGCCATCATCACCAAGGCTGGCATTGCAGACGTGCTGGACAGTGAGGGGTGCGTCCCGTGGGGCCCCGGGGCCGCGTCGCCCCTCTGCTTCCCGTTCTCTCCTTCCTGCTCATCGTTGCCTCCCTCGGTCTCCAGACCATCCGCGGGGCTCCTGCCCCACCCCAGCCGCCCTGAGCTCCAGCAGGTGTCTGGGCTTGGAGCCGCGAGCAGTGGGGCAGCCCTGAGAGGCTCTGCGGTGGCCGTGAGGAGACCGGGCAGGTGGGCTGGGGCTGGGACCCGGGGCCGGCGTCCTTCCGAGGGGGACCACGTACAGGGCCGGGGGGCGGCCACAGCCAGGGCCCAGCAGGTGGATGGAGGCCGGGCTGGTTGTGGACTGGGGGCCCTGCCGCCCCCCTGCCGTCTCTTCTCTGTGGTGACAGGCTGAGCGCGGCTGTCCTGGTCAGGGTGGTTTTGCTCCGACTCCTCGGGAGGTGGAAGTAAGCGTGCTCTGTGCTCTCTCCTCCTCAGGTACCTGCTCTTCTATCACAAACAGTTCCTGGAGTACGAGTAGCCGTCGGCGCACCGGCAAGTCCCCCGAAGTCATCCGGGTGCCCAGGGTCACGCTGTGTGGACACTTGGCAAGAGGTGGGCTGTGGGGGGGGGGGGGCTGAAACGGTCTTGCCCCAGACGGCCTCAGGGTTTGTGCCCTCTTTCTTTGAAGACCTGATCCAAATGTCATCTCCTGAGGCCTCTGACCACCCTATCCTGTCTCTATTCTTTTTTCCCCACTCTGTGCACTGCACTAATCAACTTCTAACATGCCACAGTCTACCTGTTAAAGTGCAAGCGCTGTAAGAACACGGATTTCTGTCTGTTCATTACTTTATCTCCAACACCTAACAAACAGTACTTGGTATACAGTCGGTACTCAGATATTTGCATATGAACTTGGAAGTCATTCAGGGTCCTGTGGCCTAGCTAATTCCCTCCATGATATGGGCTGCCGGGCCTCTCAGTAGCTCTCCTGTCCTGACCAGTGCCCCTGCTCATGTGCTACTGTCTTCACCGTGAAATTGTCGCCTGCAGCACCGGAGCCTGGTGTGGGAGAAGCAGGGCCTGGGAAGGAGAGGCTAGAACAAAGGGGGGGGGGGGGGGGGGCAGAGGAGACGTGCGCCAGAGTGTCTCCTGTGTCCCCCGCGAGCCGGGGCAGGCGCAGCCCCCGCGCCAGCCATTCCACGCCGGGGCCCAGAAAGCAGGAGGTGGAGGTGATGCGGGCCTCACAGGTCTTTCTCTTGGTGAGTTTGGCGTCCGTGCGCAGCGCGGACTCGGGCGTGAGCCCCGGAGCCTGTGGAGCTGAAGACCCCGTGGGGCCTCCGAGCACGTCTGTCCTGCATGTGGAAGCAGAGCCCCATTTTCTAGAAATAGGTGTTTGCGTATGGTCCCCCTTTCTCTTTCCACGATGGTGAATCTCTTAAACCTAATGATGGTAACGTGAATGAATTACTGAGTTCAGGCTGAAATGTAGATCGTTTTCCTTTTATCCTGGAGAGTGGATCTTGCTTTCCCATCAGTGCTGTTCTTGTTGCCCCCTGCCCGCCCCCGCCAGGCATCTTTGACCTGGTCAGAGCTGCCTGGCTCAGAGGAGAATCAGGCTGCGCTGGGAACGGTCTCTGTCATGTTAATCTTTTAGTAACTGAAGCGTTTCCAGTGGTTTCACTGTTTCCCTCCCGTGTTTCCTTCCTGGCCACCTGTCCCGCGAGCTCTCCAGGTCGCTGCTGGGCGGCGGGTGTGTCGATGCGGCGGCCTCCAGGGGGGCTGCATCCTGGCTCTGGGTGCCTCTGCCTTGCGTTCCGGTAGCTCCTGTTGCCGCAGGAGGACAGCTGGCGGGACTGAGCTGGTGGGAGGGGCTGACGGGGGAGGTGCAGCATCATTGTTCCTTGCGAGCCATCTTGCGCGCATCTGTCTGTTCACACCCAAACTTAGATTGGCCGTCTCTGAGAGATTCCAGCCCAGAGACGGGGGACGAGCCAGTGTCCCCTGAACCGTGAGGCTTCTTTCCTGCAGAGGAACGTTCACCTGCGGCAGGGTCAGCGGACTCTCCGCAGAGGGCCAGGTGGTAGATGTTTCTGGCTTTGTGGGCCCTGTGGTCTCTGCTGCAGGTAACGTGGATAAGCGTAGCTGTGTTCCAGTAGAACTTTACATGATCACAGAAAGTTGAATTTCATATACTTTAACCACGTCACAAAATTTCAGCCATTTTCACTGTTTAAAAACGTGTGCTGGGTTCTCAGCCGACAGACCGTGAACCAGGTCCAGCTCATCGGCTGCTCGGGTCTGGGCGCGGCGTGGCTCCTGCCCCCCCGGCCCCCCACCCCCCGTGGAAGGTGCTGGGGTCCTGCGGCGGGGGCGTCGTACCCGGCAGAGTCCTCAGCGACGCAGCTCAGGCGCCTGCCCCGCGTGGCCCGTCCGCTGTGGCTGCTCTGAGGGCCCTGGAGCCCTGGGCCTCGGTGCAGAGTGGCGACAGAGGAGATGTACTGGCTGCGGGGTTTCTGGCGGGTCGCCTGTGGTCTGGTCAGCCCTGTGCCCCTCCCCTGCTGCCCACTCATGTCCAGGGCTCAGCTGCTCCAAGGATGTGAGGATTCAGGAGACAGGCCGTTTCTCTTTTCTGGGTGTTTTTTTGAATTTTTATGTCGAAGTTAACCCTCTGTTCCCTCTGGCCTGGTGTTCTGAGCACTTATCTCTCTCTCTCTGCTGCTGAGATTCCCCTGTGGCTGGAAGAACTACCTGGGGGGGTGCGGTGAGGCTTCGTCTGCCTGCACGTGCGCCCGCCCCCCGTCCCGCGCGCTGAGGTCCTGCTTAGACGTCACCTCGTCAGGAACAAAGAACTGCGTGATGGGTTGGGGAATTTATTTTCTTTCAGCTCCCGATGCAGCTACTAAATACGGGAAAATGGTTCCCTGTTTCAAACCACCACCCGTGTCGATGTCCAGACCGCTAAGGAATCCCTGGGCGACCCTTCCTCCCCGGCTAGTGTGTTTAAAGTGACTTGTGTTTGTGAGACGTTGGCTGCCGTGTCAGCGCTTTACAGTGAGACAGTGAGCTCTTCTCCCTGGGTGTCCTGCGCGCGGGGCTGGGCCCGGGCCCTCTCCAGGCCGCCTCGGGCCTCCCGTCGGTGCCAGAATGTCCAGGACGCTCCTCCTGCATCACGTATAGTCGTGCTGGTGTAGTTCTGCTTGGTGTGGATGCTTTCGTCATATAAAATTGCCGTTCTTTTGACAATTCAAGTGACTTGTTTCGTCGTTTACTATAACTTTGAAAACAGAAATCCTAAGAATGAGATTCCAATGATTGTGCTGTGGATTTTATTACTGGGATGTTTCCGCATCCCTTTCACCTGTCGTTTTGAGGGACTGTTTGGCTCTTCTCTCTAATGGCTTGTAGTCTTTTCCTGTGTCGTAATAAAGCTACATTTTATTCTGAAAACTGGCCCATCTTCCCTTACTAGCACGCGAGTCCTGTCTGTGATACCAGCCCCTTCTCGGTTTGTTCCAGCCCAGACCTGCCCTGGGCCGGGAAGTCCGTGCCCCCTGCGTCCCCTCCTCCCGGGGGCAGGATGGTGACAAATCTGGGACTCAGGACACCGTGGGCTGTCAGACTGTGACGAACTTAAAAGCCACCCGAGGGGCTTCTTTAAACGCAGGAACCCCTGCTGGAGTTTGATTACAGGACCTGGAATGTGGTGCGGCGATACGGGTGTGCAGCTCCCCGGGCGCTGAGAAGGCAGAGGGCGTGGTCGGAGAGCAGCCCCCGTCCTGGTCAGTGCGGTTCCGACTCTGCCCACCCCACCCCCCCCGGTCCACCCTTCATTTCTGAAGCGTGCTGTTTTTGGATGCCTCTGTCACACGTTCCTTCACTTCACGTACACGGAAACATCAGGAAGTGCCAGCGAGTGCCCCTGGGTTCCAGAGCAGCAGTCCTCCCCGGGGGTCTCTCCACATTCAGGAGGACCGTTGCTGCGTGCCTGCAAGCAGCTCGCCCGGGACTCCGAGACCTTCCCACCAGAGCTTTCCAGGCCTGGAAGGAAGACGCGTGGTGGGGCTCTTGGTGTAAAGCTGCGGAGTGCCCACCCAACCCTAACCCCTCCACCCCAGGACCCGCATGCTCCGGTCGCAGGCTCTGGTTAAAAGCGTTAAGCTGTCCTGGCAGACAGACTCGTGCCTGCGTCTCAGTGGGCAGCCGCGTGGACCCAAGGCCCCTGCTCTGTGTCCCGTGGGGCTGGCGGAGCGTCGTTGCGGGGGGTGGTGCTGACAGGCAGGGCAGGCAGATCCGCGTCCGGGAGACGGGTTTGATCCCGTGAGGACGCGTCTCTGGCCTCCGTGTAGTGGGCCTGCCGGCAGGTGGCCAACTGCTCCTGGGCCTCGGTGCCGGTCCAGTCGCCAAGTGGGCGCCCGGCAGGGCCAGCTGGTAAGCCAGGGTCAAGGCCTGACATCGAGTCTGTTCACACAGCCCCGTCCCCATCTCGATGGCACCTTTGTTCATGGAGTGGGGCGGGTGTTCTCAGCAAGCTGTCTGTTCCCACAACTGGCCGTTTTGTCCATCTGGCGGTGAGTGTCCTCTGTCGGGCTTCTCCTTAGTGAGCACAGTCTGTGCCCGTTTGGAGAGGTTTGTCCCCACCCGGATCTTCTGTCGCCAGTCCTTAAATCCCATTGCTTCCAAATCTTCGGCCGTCCAGCCGAGCTGAACTTTGAAGACACAGTTACAGTAAACGATGGTCCTCGGGTCGCTGGTCACAAGGGTACTTGCGGTTGTGCAGCGGGTGTGTCTGTGCACGTCACAGCCGCCCGCTCCTGCTGTACTTTGCACGTGAGTGTCCGTCGCTGCACACCCAGAGGTGGGCCAAGCGGTCGACAGCACTCACTGTGTTCAGGGCACTCGTGCCACGCGGTCACCGATGTCTGTGGTTAGGTGCTCGGCCCGCGTAGCGGAGGCTCTTTCTGCGGAGGACCAGCGCCCACGGAGGACGACAGGTTTGACGTGCTTGGAAGATCTGTGCTGGTGTCCTTTGGTCCCTGCTGGAGGCTTGTGATGCATCCTCGTTCGCCGCGGATGTTGAGTTCCAGGTCTCCTGCATCCTCAGGCTTGGTGGTCGTGCAGCATTTTCGAACTCGTTCGGGTCCCTCTTTAACTGGGAGCCACATACTGCCGGTGTAGACGGATGGAATTAACACACCCAAAATGGTCTGTGCTGCCTCTCAACCCAGCAGGGGTACCTGTTCTCGGGAGGGTGTGGGAGATGCAGTGCCCTGTCTTCTTGCTTCAGAGCACGGAATCCACAGGAATGC